ATCCGCACCATCTATACCTCCCTGCATAATGAGCTGAAGAAGGTGGTGACTGGCCGTGGTGCCCTGGGTGGGGCCACTCCTCATGTGGAAGAACTCCTTTCTCACCTGTCGGAGCAGCTGTGCTTCTTCGTTCAGGCTCGGATGGAGATTGCAGACTTCTATGAGAAGATGTATACCCTCAGCACACAGAAGTTCATCAGTGCCGAAGAGCTCGTTGGCCTTTTGGACACCATTCTCAAGAAATACAGCTCAAGGTCAGTGTAGGTGAGGAGGGAGGGAGAGATAAAATGCAGCAGCTTCTCGATCCCACACAGACCCTCAGTTTTCCCCCACACTCTTATGAAAATCTATGATGAAATAACAAGAGAATAGCTGTGTTACATTTTGTACATATTAATTAACCAACCGGTATATATTGGGCACCTTCTTTGGGCTCAGTTAACAACATACTAGATGGATACTTAACTTCCCTAAGCAATAGCAAAAGACCAATAATGAAATAATCCTTAAAAGATGTAATATAACTGATTTTGGTATTTATGAAAGAGTTCATATAGCCATAAAAGAATTGTGTATAAAATATTGTGACTTTTTTAACAAACTACTATTCACTTATTCCTCTAATGCAGCCAGTACTTACATGTGTTGGAAGCTCCTGTATAATTGCTTTTGGCACCTGTGGCCTACTTTTTGTTTTGTTTTAAATTTCCTCATAAATTTCCTCATAGTGGAGGCAGGCATCTGTGCTTCTGAGGAGGGCATACTCAAGGTTTTGGGAGGTTTTTTTTGTTTTTTTGTTTTTTCATAGTCAAAAGTTATTTGTAGCCAGTTTCATTTTTTTTTTTTTTTAAAGAATGTTGATTGACTGGAAAACTTTCATATGAAGGAAATTGCTACTTATAAAGAGATGAGATTAGTTTTAATGTCTTACTCACTACCTGACCTAAAGGCAATACCAAAAGAATTTAAGGAGCATCATGAACATCATTGATGTGAATGACCCAGTTTTATTTTTGGGTCCCTGGAGCCTGACATAGTGTCTTACACATAGTAGGTGCTCAGTAATTTCATGATGGACTAAATGGAAAGTAATTACCTTGAAGGATACCACTCCTTTAAAAATGTGAGTTCATATATGTTTGCTTAAAAGAGAAAGGTAGATATGTTAACTTATATTCCCAAATAAAAGATAATATTCATCTGATTAATGGACTGGGCAAAGGGGACAAAATGAGGAGATTAAGAGAGACATTATGGAGGACATAGAATCTAAGATTACTTTTAAGGGTAGATAAGGTTTTGGAAGCAAAGCTTGGAAAGGAGAGCAGACGCTTTGAGACAAGAAGATGATTTCAGAATACTGAAAGAGTTTTGGTACCTGCCGTTCTCTCTTCCTGAAACATTCTTATCCTACTTGTCTACTCATGATTTAAGTCTCTGTTCGAATGTCAGAGAGGTCTTCTCTCTTCATCCTACCAAAACTATCATTCCCTTAGGCACTATCCTGCTCCCCTGATTTATTTTCTTCACATTCCTTATTGCCATCTGAAATTACTGTTATTTACTTAGAGTGTTTTTTCTTCTCTCACAACTAGAATGTGGGCTCCATGACAGCTTCTATGTCTTTATCACCTTGAACAGAGCCTAGCGCATAGTAGGTGCTCAATAGGTATTTGTTGAATGAATAAATGAATAGTTGCTAAATAGTGGAGAACCATGAATGGCTTTTGAATAGGGAAGTCTCTGTTTTCATCTTTATCTTAGACTGATTACTATGGTCCTGGTGTGTGGTTTGGAATGGTGAAGGGAGTGGTTACATGAGGAAAGGGTAGTTTAGCAGGCCCTTATGGTAATCTGATTGGTGATAGTAGGGCCTCCTGGTTGCAAGACAGTGGGAAAAGAGATGAAGACAAGGAAAGTCTACAAGTTTTGGCAATAGGATGGTAGGAGTAAGGAGAGGTTTCTGTCACTGATGATTTATAAGTTTTGCACCTTCAATGATAATATCATTTACAGGATTGAGAAGTCAAGAGGGGCTGGCTTGGAAAGTAGTGAGCAAAATTTGGAGCAATTCAGGCTTGAGTTGCTAACAGATCTTCAAGTAGAGGTTTAGTAGGCAGTCGGAAATGGGGGTACAGAGATCACATGAAGCCAGAAAAAGAGAAAATAATTAAAGATCATCTGTATAGAGTAGACTTACCTTGTTTTTTGGTTTCAAAACATATCCTTGTTTCTTTAATAAAGCAGCAATTGATTTTTAAGCTTGCAGGAAAAAAGGGGGAATATTTATATTTTGAAGGAAACTAGCACATACTGAGCAACTACTGTGTGCCAGGCAGTATGCAAGACCCTCTTATATATCTGATTTGAGGTATAGGTGAGTTAGTGCTACTTTTATGGAGTCTCAGGGAAGTTAAGCATGCCCAGGGTCATGCAAATTATCTTTGAACCCACTTCTCTATGACTCCAGAGTCCATATTCTGTATGCATCATTGCTTGTATCAAATAGTGAGATGCTTTTCATCCAGTCCAGATAATTTATCTCTGTTGATTATTTTACAAGTCAGTAAATAAGATTGATTTTTATTTATTGAATAAATAATAAGACATAGTAAGACTATGAAATAGTCTTCTGTCAGAGTAAGACAGAAAACATCATAAGCACTTACTACATTCCCTTGCAAGGAATAAGAATTGTGTACTGCATAAAATCATGTAATGTGCACATTCTCTCTGAGCACAATTTAGTTTGGTAAATGTATTATTATGTTTTTATTCTTCCTTTATAAAGTTTTTCCCTAATTTTTCATTTTGAAATTTTACTCCTACAGAAAAGTTGCAGGAATAGTATAATGAACATAGAGTTACAATATGACCAGTAATTCCACTCCTAATACCCAATGAAAAATACAAAATGAAAACATATATCTTACACTTGAAAACTTTTACATGAATGTTCATAGCAGCATTATTGATAATTGCCAAGATGTGGAAACAATCCAAATGTTCATCTACTGATGGATGAATAGATAAATATGGTATATTCATACAAGGGGTTATTCAGCAATAAAAAGGAAGGAGTACTGATATGTGCTATAACATGGATGAACCTTGTAAAATTATGTTACATGAAATAAGCCAATCATTTATATGAAATGTCCAGACTAGGCAAAGTCATGGACACAGAAAGTGGATTACAAATTCATAGACACAGAAAATAGTAGTTAAGGGTTGGTGGGGTGGGGAGGGAGAATGGAGAGTAACTGTTAATGTGTATAGGGTTTCTTTTGGGGGGTAATGGGACTGTCCTAAAATTAGATAGTGGTGATGGTTACACAATTCTGAATATATTAAAACTGTTCAATTGTATACATTAAAAGGATGTATGTTACATGTGTGAATTAAATACCAGTAAAACTGTTACTTAAAAAAAAACTGTACAATGAACACACACGTATCTTTTACCTAGATTCACTATTAAAATTTTGCCATGCTTGTTTTCTCTCTCTCTGTATATAATTTTATTTCCCTGAGTTGTTTGGAAGTCAAATGCAAAACAAACATCATGACACTTCACTCCTAAATATTCAGGTTGTGTCTTCTAAGAACCATACAAACCTATAACATAGTTTACACACAGGAAATTTAACACTGATTTTCCACCATCATCTAACTTATAGTCCATATTCAGATTTCTTCAGTTGTCCCAAAAACGTCATGTATTTTTTATTGTCATGTATTTTTGATCTTCTGTTGTATTCTAAATTTTCTTTTATTGTTAACATGGCTCAAAATTTATAAAGTACAAAAGAATGCATAGTGAAAAGTCTGCCTGCTGCCCTGTCTTAGCTACTTAATTCCCTTCCTAAGAAACAGTGAATGTTAGCAAGTTCTTCCTATCATTCCCAAGAGAGTCTATGCATATGGGTATACACATTTTTTAAACATATTTTACATGTGTACAGATTTTCTGTTTGTAAATATTATTTTCTTTCTCAAATCTGATTACTATGTATATATTTTTTAATAAAGTAATCTTTTGAAAACCAAAAACTAAAGTACAATTGGCGATATGATGCTCAAAAGGAAGAGATTGCATCTGGTGATTGCCAAATGCTAATGTGGAAGTGGTTTGCTGAACCATCTCAGAAGCTTAAGAAAATACTCACTGGGCTCCTCCTCTTTTTCCCCAATAAGGTAAAATTTAGTAATTCTGGATTGGGTGCCCACAAATTTGTATGTTTTAAAGTTCCTTGTGCTACTGATACATAGTCTGCATGAAAAAAATTGTTTGGATAAATAAAAGATGCCAACATTAGAATACACTGAATATTGAACCTTACAGATGTGTGTGCATGTGCTTGTATATGTATGTGTGTGTCTCTCCTGGGAATTATTACTATTTAATTTCATTTTTATTTTATTACATTTGCGATCTATCATCTTTGAACCTTCTTTGAAACATCCCACTTCCTAGAGGCTTGAGAATTTCTCCCATTTCCTGCTAAAGCCTCGATTTCATTCTTGAAACTTTTAGGGCAGTACTTGGCTGTACCCATTAGTCTTCTGATTGGATGCTAATGGAATCTGATGGAGCTGGGTTGCAACATCACATATGGTCAATAGTTGTTTTCATCTACAGTTTCCATCTTCCATCCATTCTAACTTCCTCTTATTAATAGGGAATTACTGATCACAGGTATATCCTAGCCTGAAAATTATCTAAATTAGAGGCTGTGGGTTAATTTGAACAACAAAAATTCTTTAGTTAAGAATTTTTGAGATAGTTAAGATAGAAATTCTATATAATATATTGATTTTCCTTTGGGAAGTGGGATTATTTTAGGTATAAATGAATGTAGTTTGCCTTTTGCCAGGATAACACACCTAATACATTTCTTTCATGGTTCCAGTATTCTAGAGAAATAATTCATATTTTGGTGTTCTCTTGTATTGAGTTAATCTTCTTCCCAGAGGACCCAATTTATCTTTCAGGGAATGCTTATTTGTCTCAATATATATGATCCATGTCAAAACACTTATAAAAAATTGTGAATCTTTCATCTTTCAAACCATGAAATGTTTTTATATTAAAAAATTAACAAGCATGATATATAGCATGGAGTCTAAACCCCTGGCCCTGATTTGAGATGCAGATCCTGTGTGTTATTGTAATGTCCAGTCTACTTTCAGAGATGAAGAGAAAGCATATTTTGTTTTTTTCTCTGGATGCCAGTTGTGTTCAGAGTAGAAC